ACTCTTCACCATCGTCAAGAAGTTTTAGATTTGATATAAAATAACGTTTCAGAAGTTAGTTCTGCTTCTATTTTCAGTTGGGAAGACAATCCCTACTCTTCTGAGTCAAGGTTGACATTTTTTCGACCAATTTTCCGAGCAAGATTTGGGTTTTGCTGTTTTACCTGCGACCTTAAAAGACGAAGGCAGAATCGACTTCCTAGACGCCGTGGTTTTGATTAAAAGACAAGGAGGTTGACAAAATTTATCAGAATGATTATAAAATCGTTCATAGAGATCAAATATATAGAATGTATGGTATAAGACATAGAACGCAGATAAGAAATACATACAAAATTTTGGCGAGGAAACATCTTGCAGCGCACCTAGTTGGGAGGTAATTGCTGGATAGTGTTTCGTTAGATCGAAGAGAGACTAGCTGAGGGTGAATGACGGAGAGTTGGTTGGGAATTATGTTAAATGGAGGGATAGGGACTTTGGTACCAGCAAAATTGGACCTTCGGGTTCTGCTACCAATGCAAGTTTAAATCGTGGGTTTATAATCGACAATAAGGAGGCATTGTTCAAATTATAGAAAGTGTCTAACAACGACTATTGTTTGAAATTGATGGCACACGTAATTCTGTGAAGATGGATGGCTGATGGCTGAACTTAGCCTTCCAGAATTTAAATTGTGATAACTGACCAATGGGGATACAGTGCGTTCGCTGATAAACCAAAACGCAACTGTCACTTCCCGACTCACAGCAGGAACTGCATTACTCACCGCCAAGAGCTAGCAGCAACACACAGCAATGCAGCTGCGTCTGACATCGTATGTTAGCTTTTCTAGGACAGGCTGTATAGGTTAAACAGACTGGCGTTTTCTATTTTTGTCCTTTAAAGATGTTCTGAATCGCGTGAAGTATCTATTCTTTAACCCTTCAAAGTACGGTCAGTGCAGTGTGAAAGCATTATGTCGACATTTTTAGGACGGGGAGTAGTTCCGAGTTCTGAGTTTTGGCCTAAATAAATAGAGGAGTGTTTGACAAAAGCCGAGTTGTATTTTAGTGTTCCAGTGGAATGGCGATGTAGCAATGTAGCACAAACCACGACAGAAGGCAAACGGACTCGGAGTGGGAGAATTACTACTTCGTACGGGCGGGGTAGTTATTTAGAGTGATTAAAAGCGGAGTGTAAACGAAAACAGGAAATTAAACAGCTCTTCCGCGACAGAGTTTGAAACTTCCAATTGTACGTTTCTGACAGGGAAATGAAAACCAAATTTCGTAACACAATGAGAAATTCTGAAAAGATTACATGACTCATACTTTTCTTTAAAATGATTTTATTTACACAGGAAAATGGAAAAAAATGGTTAATTATACGATTTCAGAACTTCATTTATTAATATTAGTTTAGCGGGGCCTAGAACAGATTCTCACTACCTGATACCTGTTACCAAAAACCATTTTTTCTCTCACCCGTCATGTTTCTATTTATGGAAAACATAATTAATAGAAATGTTGCAGATATAAAATATCTACACGTCAAATGTCACGTACCGATCTGTGGTGTTTGATTAACAATTCCCATCGAACTTAAAGCTAAACAGGTAAAGAATTCGCAATGTATTCATTTGCTGTTTTGAATTATCACCTTACAAATGCATTTATTTTGCCAAGAAATAATCACAAACCAATATTAAGTGACACTATGTTGTAATTCACACACTGAAGTGCCAATTTTATCCAATTTAATGGAAGATACACAAACGTGTGCTTGCAAATATTGTAGTTTTACAAGTTTTCGAAGTTTTCTCCAGCCTGTCCAGACGAATACCTGGAGAGTAACTTCAAACAGATGAGGACCCTTCTTCCAAACCCTTTCACCCTCCCACATACGATAACTTGGGGAGAGGGGGATGACCCTACATGCAGTACGAAGGGTTTCGGTCCCACCCGCCCCGCGGAGCGCGAGTGACTGGCTGCATTCCTAAAGCAAAAGACATGATTCCGTACCTGCAGCCCCTCGGTTAGGATCTCCTTCTTGTACTTCTCCACCTCTTCTATGTAGCTCTTGTTTTGTTTCTGTCTCTCCCATTCTAGTTCCAGGCCCATGTTCGGGAGAGCAATGTCGTCCAGGAACCCGTCTATAACACGAAAAATTAATTACAGTGTAGACACGCCATCAAACGTTCATGCCGGGCATCCTACAACACTTAGGAAAACAGTAAGTTCAACGTCTTGGTTCAGCAACCTCAATGAAAGTGAAAATTTGAAACATCTAGAAGTAGACAGGAAAAAAAAACATTTAGGTTACATCGATTGGAAGGAATACAATGCAAATCAGACGTACGTTACAGAAAATTTTGGAATAATTTTGAAAAGGAAACTGAAAAATTTAATTTCGTACTCACCCGTATAAAGAATAATTTATGAGGAGTGTTGAAGGATTTCGCTTGTGACATCTGCATAAAACTTGCTGTGGGAATTTTACTATCTATCATGCCAATATAATTCTTTATTTTTTTATTTTTTCATTAATCTAAAATATAAATGTATGGAATGAATATAATACTATGGCATACAAATGGTAATTTTATAAAATATGGCATATCTCATTAAGAAATACAAATGCATTATGCATTTTCCTACATGAAAATCAAAGACCAATGGTGCATACAAAATAGCAAGGAATAAACTTAGTCTTGCATTGCCACTTTAACAGAATACACTCCCCTTTCTGAAAATTCTTTTCGCTTACTTCTTTTGTGAGAAAGCTCAGACGAATCAATTCTTAAAGCCACATTGTAGCCTCGAACCCATTTCGAGTAATAAGTTATATTGAAAACAAATTCTATTAATCCCACGAGACTCGAGTCTCTTAGTAACCAACCCGTCACCCTTCTGCAACTTTTATTGTAACAAGAATGCTACGAATCCTATTAAGAAACTTCAAACATAAAATAAAAATTAAGTCTTGATGTTCGTCGTCACGAAGTTTTTCTAACTGCAGACAGTGACAACGCAACTTTTCCTTTCCTTCAATACTTACCATGAACTTAGTCTTCAGAGAACTAAGCATTGCGTTACCAACGGAAACAATGGGATATATTTCCATACAAAAAGGGACCGAACTGTCGGAAAGAAGGGCCTCACACTTCGTTCGCAGATTCATCGGCGGCTTACAACGAAATTACATTAAGCTATTGTTCTTACTCTGCCACGCGTTAAGCCCATTGGCCCATTCAAATCTGCATTAAATCTGGAAGTATAAACTTTCAGTCATTTGGTAGGAGTTCTTAGATTGCGGACAGGCGCATCGCATGTCTCTGCTTACACAAACAACAGGAAAACGCATAGGACTACAGACAAACATCCATGCCAAAGCCGAGTTAGATCCGACGACCCAGAATTCTGTCGGTTTAAGAAACACAGGACTGATTATTGAAGAACGTACGGAATTGTTTACGAAATGTAGCACACGGATATTTACATGGACACTAATGTTAACTGCTCTCCCATTGTTGTACACAACAATTTAATTACGGACTTTGAATTCAGATCAATGCTGTTTGTAACGACCCACAACTGATGTAAATTTTAATGGCACGTATCAAACGAGGGGCGAATACAATAGATAGTGACGTTATCGTCTATCTGGGACCCCGGTGTGGCGCGATTGATATTGTGCTACTGTTTGGCCTACTCTCGCACTGACCAACATCCGAAAAAAAATCCTCTGTACTGAGGATTTTCGTCAATCCTTCTAGGTCAGGC